ATCTTTTGGCTATGTTGGATTGTAATAGTTGTTAATATTCTTTCATGTGTTAAGTTGAAACGAGTTTAAGTTCAATCGCGCCAAATGATCAAACTTTAATCAATCACTAGTTGGATGAAATAGCTAAATACACGTGATCCAACATTGTTCGTAATTTAAAATGCAGTATGCAAATGCTTGATTGGGTATTGTACGTTTTTGGTACACTGATGAAGTCCAATGAACTCTATGATAATGACTTTTATTATATATAGTTGGAGTTTAGGTCACGAGGCAATGGCTAACAGCTGATAGCTGTTAATAGCTCTCCTGCCACTAGCTTCACTTCATATCTCCGTATCGGTGTTTCAAGAACCTATGGCATTTGGTGTACGTCGAAGGGGAGGCACTTAGTCATAATAAGCTCTGCCGTGACCAAAAATGCAGTAAAATAATCAAGATAGTGTCTTTCCCCGAAGAAGGCATTTTCAGGTTGTGTCAGATAAAAATCTGTTGTGTGAAATAAAAATCTTCCAAAATTGCAAGCAAGGCCAACGAGGTTGTAACTATTTAGAAGTAGAGAACATCAAATGAATTAAGCTCTTATATATTTCGATCAAATTATGCAGCTGGCCTATACTAACTCTTAAATTCTATAGGAAAAGTCAAATTATGCGACAGATCTGCACTACCTCTTAAACTTTTAGCGAAACACAAAGGAAGCATTTTCTACTTAACATGTGTCGGCTTCTAATTCATTTGTTTTGTTCATTCAACGACTGCAAGCTGATGCGTCCATGCGGAAATGCCTCCAAACTAAGGTTAACCTGAAGATTTCTGAATCTGAATTCCCGAAATCTATCTTAATTGCAGCATTCTGCTTTAGACTAAATAGCGGTTTTAGCGAGTTTCACGACTTAGCGGCTCAACTGGATCAGTTCACTTGGTTTATCTGCCTTATTTGATTCATCAGCATCTCATGTTTCCCATGTTTCTCCATGTTTTACTAGTTCACGTTGTTTTCATGGTTTTGTCTTATTTTAGTTCTCGAAATCGACTTCCTTCACCCTGCCGGTTAACCTGCTGGACTTGTTTGTCATCTTTTCACTTGATTCATCAGAATCACTTGGTCAATCAGGTTTTCAAGGATTAGCGTACGCTACTTGGCCCACTTGGTTCACCTGGATGACTTGTTCAGTATTTTTCTTGGTTCAGCTTGCTCATTTGGTTGTTCTACTTCAGTTGGTTAACCTGGCTGACCTTCTTCACTTGGTTCTCCTCGTTCACTTGGTTCATTT